GTCTAAAGTATGTTATTTAGTGCTAATATTTATAAAATTGCAATTATATGACATACAAATACATACACGTTAGACAATGTCTTCATTATTCTTCATTTAATTTCATACAAGTTGTCGACAAATATATCATTTTTATAATCAAATTAGTGATCGATAGGTCACAACATATATTCAATTATTCGTTTATTAACCATAGTTTGAATGAAATTTAAAAATAAAATCTCGAATAACTGTACGCAACAAATGATTAAATAATTTCTATTTTAAACGATTTTATAAATATAATCAGTTGCCTAAGAGATGCGTGGTTTGTATTGATTGTCATTATCTAATAAAACCAATCAATTAATACTTAAATCATGAAATACATAACATTTTGTAATCCCTTTGCCGGTATATATCCTAATAAATACTGTTAATGCAAAACTTGGATACCGTATATTTATATCCGGATCAATTTGTAAGCAAATAAAATAGTTATTTTAATTCACTTTTAATTCAAATTAAAATCGGTTACAAAATTCAAGTGATTATAAAGTCTTGAATATATTTATCAAAAACTTTTACTTAACGCTCAAACGCTATGTAAGTATGAATTAGTCTAAAGAGTTTGAGTATAAAAATCTAAGCATTGATTGTAATTAATGTAAAAATGTTATTAAATAATAGGCAACAGAAACCAGCGATCGTTTAGTTTTAGTCTTCATCGGAGTCGTCGTCCAACGCTGTCCTTCTTCTGTCATACTATCCGCACATCAAAGAGAGAAACAAAACAATTAAATAAATGCCGAAATAAGTCTGCAATCAGTCAATACATTAACGGTTGTCTTTCGGGACGTCTGTTCGCTCACTCTCTCCAACAGACCCTTCAAATCGTCTTCAGATAACTAACAGTTTACAGATAATCACACAATCAATGAAAGAGACATTCAATGATAGAGAGATGGCAAGTGTTATCTCACTCTTCCCCTGATGGCACCCATCCGTACGTTTTGTATTAACAGGTTTTCAACCATTTTGGCCTTTTCTGGTTTGGCCACCGATAGTGTACTCACTGTTTAACAAACAAACAGACAATGCATTCAATTATCATGAGGTGTGGCCGAAGACCATCACAACACATACGTCTAGCTCTGGCCGATTGATCCAACACTTGAGACAATATATTATTCCTAAACTCTTCCTCTT